GGATGGTATGCTTCTGACTGCGATGGCTTATGACCGGTTTGTGGCCATCTGCAACCCTCTGCACTACTCAGTCATCATGAACCCATGCTTCTGCCGCTTCTTAGTTTTGTTGTCATTTTTCATCAGCCTTTTGGACTCCCAGCTTCATAATTTGATAGTGTTACAACTTGCCTGCTTCAAGGATGTAAAAATTTCTAATTCCTTCTGTGACCCTTCTCAACTCCTTCGTCTTGCCTGCTTTGACCCCTTCACCAATAACCTAGTCATGTATTTTGTTGGCTTTATCTCTGGTTTTCTCCCTATCTCAGGAATCTTTGTCTCTTACTATAAAATTGTTTCCTCCATTCTGAGAGTTCCATCAAAAGGTGGGAAGTACAGAGCCTTCTCCACCTGTGGCTCTCACCTGTCAGTCGTTTGCTTATTCTATGGAACAGGCATTGGAGTTTACCTCGGATCGGCATTGTTGCCTTCCCCGAGGAATGATGTGGTGGCCTCAGTTATGTACACTGTAGTCACCCCCATGCTGAACCCCTTCATTTATAGCCTGAGGAACAGGGACATTAAGAGTGCCCTAGGGAGGCTCCACAGCAAAATGTCTGGTCTTAATATCCACGTAACTCTTTTTAGAGTGTGTTTGGAAAACCCAGCAAAACCAAATATGTAAACTGAAAATTGTGCCCTTGGTCACATTCCTTTTTTGTCTCATGGTTTCCATTCTTCTCCATGCTGCATGCATGAATGTCACTTCTTTTGATTTACTTTTTACTGAATGCTTGTCCTTGCTCTAAAGAGTTTACCAAACCACAGAGTCTGTGTGAATAGATCATTCAAGGTCTCCTTATTTTAGACACCAGCTACAATCTCAGAAGTCCCCAGGGCCACACTCACTTGAGACCAGTTAACTACAAGTTTAGGGACTCCCACACATTTAGTAATTTTTTAGAATAATTTTTTAGAACATTCAGACTGAGGGAAATTCTTCAGGTTCAATAACTTATCACTATGAGTCACAGATTGGGACAGTTTATACTTATAATGACAGTTTTATTAGAGCAAATTAGAACTAGTGAAAAGAAGAACAATAGGGCAAGATTTGAAAGGTCCTATATGTCAATCTTCTTGTTGTCCATTCCTTGTGAGTTAAATCTTGTACAGCCTCCTGTCCATACTGTGAGATAGCACTCAGAGTATTGCCCATCATGTAGCTCACCTAAGCTTCAGTGTCCAGAGATTTTGAGGCTATATGAATAGTTGTGATTAATTAAATGATCTCCCATTTGATTGAACACAGTTTGCAGCCTCTCTCCCAAAAGTTTGGGCTGGTATCAATTTGTCCAAGGATTCAACACTTTTTTATGTGTTTGGACTTTTTGGCATGGCCAGTTCCCAGTTTCAATCAGCTCATTAGCACAAAATATCAGGTATTGTTCATGGGGCACATCATGAATAACCAGTCACTCATATCGCTAAATTGCAAGGACTTAAAGTTACCTTCCATGACCTGGGACAACGCCCATATCTCTCTTTAGGTGAGGCCAAATTTCTTACTACACATCTGCCCTTCCACAGGTATAGATTCCAGATCATTGCCTGGTAAATATCATGCATGCCAATCACTGTTTGAGTCTGCTTCTCAAGGAGTAATAAAATTATTTTGAGAAGATTTTAAAGACAGTTCCAAGGTAGTTCTTTGAACTGTCAACAATGTTTCATAAATTACAAAACCAATGCTGGGCTCAGTGATAGGAAAATTCAATGAGAGGAGATGAAGTGTAGAAATTTAGAGACTGTCCGAAGATCCTCAAAGAAAATGTTGATGAACTTAGAAATCCAGACTGAGAGATGTTTTATAGAAAGAAAGTGCAGAGTTTGAAATATTAATATCAAATCTACTTGAGAATTATACTTAAAAATGTTTATTTTAACATATTAAACCCAGGGGGTATAAATAAATAAGTCTTAAAAATGATAATTTATTTGGACTCTGCCAACATCTTCAAATTTCTAGAGGTCCTATGGTCCAGTCATAAGCACGTGCCTGCCCCTGATTTTGGGTACAAGTTTGATCTGGGTCCTCTGATTTCTCTGTTCATTAGGTTTTGGAGGCATTGAGCTCAGGGACAATCAGTGTTTAACAGTAAGGAGCTCCTGGTCTTCTGGAAAGAGCAGGTTCCTGATGAACTGAGGAGTATTCCACGGCTTGTCCATTACGATAAAGAGATACACAGATGGGAGACACCAAATAGT